AATATATTGATCGGTCGGAATGTTTAATTGCCGTGAAGAAATAACAACATGAATAATGGTGTCTTGAGTAATGGTATCTTGAGCATTAATTGCCGCGGCCATCAGTTCGCAACGTGAATCGAACAGCCGAACAATAAATCGCGCGGGGATGTTTGAGATTTCCGTGTCGACAATCTGACTTCGCTAGAAAAACTAGCATTCAGGCAAATGCGATTTTTATTGTCTATTAAGCCCTTGTCCTTTGATTTGCCTTTTCGCAACTATGCTTAATAAAACTACATTATCGTTAACAATTTAGAATAATTTAGGAAAGGAAAGGAATATGACACTTATTTTATGTCTACGTTTACTCGAAATATTAACGAGACAAATAATATTTAATTTACATTTAGAAAAAGTAAATAACATTTAGATTTGTTAAATCCTGTTTAAAATTTTCATCACGGGCCTGAAACATTATTATAGAACGAGGAGTTAAAAAATGAAGCATTTTAAAAATAATGGATCGCGTCTACTGATACGTTTTAAGATTAATCCAGTGTTTTTCGAGAAAATTAAGTAAACTCAGTCACTTTTTACTCTAAATTTAAATCACCAATTCTTGTACAATGTTTCATAAAAATATAAAAATTGCAGATATACATTAAATTAAAAGTCTATACTCATACTTAATTGATCATCGAAAGAATCTATATTTTGTCTTCGAGATATTTATATACTTAAGATATCTATTAGTTTGCAATATACGTGGATACGTGTATGTTCACAAAAATTAATGCAATTTCGTCTTACTTTTAACGCCAGGAATCTGTCTTATTTTGATTTTCATAGACTAACCCACGGAAATAAGAAGTCACATATCCGCAATTTAATGATGGCAATTACTATTTTGCTTTCGCATTCGAGTCCTTCGATATCGCCGGCGAAAATTTATGGGAACGTTCGTACGTTTTTAAAAGGGAGAGAGACAAAACAAAGGATTAGAACGTGGAAAATAAATGAAACACTTCAATGACAGGATCTTGCGCGATCATTATCGACTACTCTACTAAACGATTAGACTTGTTAGTATTGCTCGTATTGTGGCCGCATATATTTTTCTCGATTTCTTGCTCATTGAGCGGGCTCTTACCACTCGAACAGAATACATTTCCCGTCTCGCCTTGAGCGTATCAATTAATCATTAAGAAACGGTACAGGTTGTTCGTTCTATCAGCGTATTACAATTGACCGGTTTCATGATGCTATCATTTGGTCCATATGTTCGCTGAATTACAATTGCAGAATTCTAGTGGTCTGAATTTGTATGCTAGGAATGTCATTTTAATTATATAATTAATTTTATTCCGATTTCACGTCTCACATCTCTGGAATTTGATATCATGCTACCTTCGTTAAGCGCATAAGACGAACAACAGGGAAAAAATAATGGCTACGTAAAACATTTGATGATTGTACGTTTTCTTATTGTTGCAAATAATATAGTTACCAGTAATTACTATAATTAGTACTATAATTTCGTATGTAAAATAAATATTTCTTTCTTACCAATTGAAATATCTTTTATTAAGAAATATCTCTTTCGTTTAAATTTATTAATGATATGAATCATTTCGATTATCATTTTCATAAATTACTTTATTTAATTTTCATAAAAAAGAATGGTATAAATTCCTTAATTAATTTATATAATAGATTCTTTTCGATTTCGATACCGTTAATAAGGTTACATAAATGCCAATGAAAAACGGTTTGTAAGGAAAAAGTTAACAACGTGATCAGTAATTACAAGACATTACATGGTGCGGTTCTAACAATGCGTTAACTATCGGCTCTCATCGGTATTAGTCAGAACAGTTAATGTTACCATTTTAGCGTATGTTCGTTCCGATATCTGCTAAAGGTTATGGCACAGAAGGAATCTAATTTCCCTCATTTCCATGTATCGTACGTCCGAAGTTCAAGAAATAAATACATACATACCCAATGTGCCTTGTATAACTTTGCGTTCAACGGCGGCTACGTTTCAGCGAATTCCGAGTTTTCATCGTGTGAAATTTTTTCATCTACGTCTGTTGCATGGTAATTCATCCGTGAAAAGTTAAGCGTATTCGACTGATTGATTGCTATAACTAACGATGACGTTAATCGGAAATTAAATGCATTCCTTGGTGGAACTTTATGAACTCCTCGATGGCGTCAAAGTATGTAGTAATAGCTTCCAGTTTAATGCACACTATCGCACGAAATTAATAATGGAAACATAGCCATATTTTTCGGTATAACATGTTCTTCACATGAAAATTTAAAAAATTCTTTTTAATTGTTTCCATAAAGAACTAAACTATGCACCGAAGTCTTAAATAATAGAGAAGAAGAAGCCACATATAAATTTGAATAATAAATTTATTTGTGCATAGATATGGATTTTATATATCGAAGCTCGAAGTCGCCATTATACGACAGCAAAGGGTTAAAAATTAAAAGAAGGAAGAAACATTTAGCTGTTTACTAAAAAAAATATTGGTACACTTTATTTTGTAATATCTTTACGTATTAACCAAATTTGTTTCTGGAATAGTGTAATATACTATGTATATAAGCAATGTGTATCGTAATAATTTGTTATAATTAGGTATATAATATAATACCTTAAAAAGGAAATTACAATGTTATTTTTGTTATATTACTTTTAAACCTTTATTTAAATTCTGTTACTTATGATTTGTTTTTCTAGCAGAATTAGTTAACTTTTCTGTTCGAAGTTATCGCAGTACCCTTATTTACCTCCAAATATTGCAACCATAATGTATTTTCCAATGACTTTTAAAGAAACGCTCACTACCCAATGACATTTGCCAGAGATAATTTTGTTCAGATATTCATTTTTCTATTATCTAACGTGTAGTTAGTTTCAAGGTTACCCTCACTGTTTACACAGATCATTGGGTGGAGTTGGGTGGTATTTAGAAGAAAAAAAAAGTGAACTAATGAATAACGAATCCTGATTCGAAGATATCATTAAACATTAGCATCGCTATGAATATAGAGCGGGCTCTACCGTGAAGAAACACCGACGGTTGTGCTTTTACGTTTCACGTAACAGGTTCGAGACGGTTTCTTTTTGAAACGAAAAAATTTGTGAACCGTTGCAATTTATATTTATCGTTGCCGAATAACAATATGATTCTGCCATGTTTCCTAAAGAATCAGAAAATAAAAATCTTCGTTGGAAAAATGGCGTGCTACTAATTACTTTAATTATTTCAACAGTTATCTTCCAAAATTACATACAAAAAACAATATCGATTGAACTGTTTTATACTGAACTGCACAAAAAAAGGAGAAAAACGTAATGAATAACTAAGGGAATACTTTCAAAATCACCGACGTGTATCCTTCAAGGAGTCAAGACATTATGACGTCAGGATCCTCCTTGGAGAGGGTCAATGCTCTTCGAATCGACTCCCTCTCTTTCACGGTCGTTCGGTTTGCACCGAAAGAAACAGAAGTAGGAAAAGTGTCCTTGTACTATGAACCGTTTTGTTTCCGTTTCGACAACTTCTCTAAGGATACTTGAGAATGCTGACGATTGATTGGTCTCGATATTGTTTCCGTGATTCGATCACTTTTGGTTTCTTTAATCCTTCAAAGACGACGTTGCAGACGACGGTACAGAATACTGACTCTTAAGCCGTTTTTTGCAACTTTTTCCCTTTGTATTAATTACCTATCATGTTTTCGATTATTTCTAGAATTAAAGATATCTATAAAAGATATGAAAAATACCTATAAAAAATTCATATAAAAATTGTCGACGACATCTGCAACGGAGACAAAAGAATTGAAAAGAACCGCAAGAAAGAGGGAATATTTATTAAAAGGCTTATTGAATCGATACGGATAATTATATTGTAGACACAAAAAGCAATTTGCAATCCGTTAAGAGTATAACTGTTGTTTATACTAAAAATGTCACCAGAACAGGTTCTTTTAAAAGAAACTCAATTGTAGTAATTGTCACGAGAAATTATCGTCTGGGTAACAGAGCCACACACCGCAATTTACGACACATATTGTTGTAATTATCTGTGCTAAATTGTTGTTGCATTACTATTTTTGTACGTCATGCGTATTTACAGGTTTCACAATGATTTGTAAAAAAATAAATGAAGATAAATCGTAGAAGACAGAGAAATATGTAAATTGTTCGCGGGTGTAGTTACCAGACTGAATCATTGTCGATTTATTCATCGTGTTAGTATTTGATTTATTAACATAATTTTTCCCTCGAAAAACTCTGCGAAGATTTTTTTAAATAATCGGTAATTGTAATTAACCATTTGAGATTAATTTAAACAAATACACGTTCCAAATAAATTCTGTATGGATTTATGTTAAATATTGTACTATGAAAATTATTTACTAATTAATTAGGTTAATAAAATGAACAGATAGTTCGGAGGAAATAGGTTTCTTAATTAATTTGTGTTGAGGAGACAGACTTCCTTGAATAAAACGTGTCCTTTTTTAAATGTAATATCTCAGATATCCGCGTCGCGGTGCGCATGTTTCCAGACTTGTTTGGTGAAGACATTTTATTATTTATATAAATAAAGTATTTAAGGTAATTAAACGGATAATTTCCGTTCCGTCTCAATGATTTTGGTTCAAGGCGACCGAGTCACGCACGCGCGTTAACATCGTACAGAAACGTACAATGACGCTTCTACTGAGTATCTACCATTAAGCACACAGTAACAATCGATCCTGTACTTTATTCAATAATTACTAGAATAGAAATATTCTGATAAATAAAGAGGAATAATATCATAAATTCTCATTACACATTCATATTAAAATTTATTCTACAAACAATATAAATTACATTAAATTACTGTCATGTATCCCTTAGAGCTACCAACTTAAGCAATATCACAATATAGTGTCGCTTATATTTTAACAGTTTCGAAAATTATATAAGCCTCGTTAACCACTTGCGGTATAACGAAATTCACGATTGCGCGTGCCAGAACAGTCAACTGTAACTCGCTGCGAGGCGTCACACGGAGTTCGACGTGTTCCAGAAGAGAATATAAAAACGCATTAACTGGTGATGAAATTACATATGTATGAATAGTAAATTTGTTTATTAATAATCTTGCATATTATGATATTTTTCAAATCGATTTGGAAAATTGACATTTCTGTGACAATTGCCTCTCGACATGTACAACACGTCGCTGACGTTCCTGTAACAGAAGTTTTCCATTGCAAGTGGTTAAAGATATCCCAGTTTGATTGACCTTTAATTTTTCCTCGTTTAATTAATGTCTCATTACCGAGATCAGAAACAGTAAAAACCTTATCAGAGTATCCATCAAACTTCTGAGTAACGACAGTAAAACGAGAATCATAAAAATAGAGAAATGGTGGGAACAACAGCGATAAAAACGAAGTATTAATAACTTCTATGTTATATAAAATAAGGAAGTGTTCTTCATATATCCATCGAAAACTTAGCCAATAAGTAGTTCTTAAGATTCAAACAAAATATGCGTCAACAGTAATAATCTCGATCAAAGATAGAATACAAAACAAGTTTAAAAATAAAAGAGCATGAATTTAAAGAAAATTATTATTCTTATAGGTCACAATGTTCAGCTCGACCTTTCAGAAATTACAGTTCCTGTATAAACCGTATGCGTTGGCAATAGTTTCCATTGGATACGTACTTGGGGAGCTAGGTCATTATTTAATTGGTAAGCAATTAATATAATATTGTACGTCAGATCATCCCACATTTCAAAAGAGATTTGCAAACCATGATTTAAGCGGCATGCTAGTTTCAGCGACCATTCAGTTTCTCTGATTTACTTGCTACTTCTTCAGGTATTTGGAAAATATATCCTATACTTGTCCTGAACCATTCATGTTTCCTACTTCATCTTAATTAGTTCGTTGGACGCTTTATTTCCATGAAACCAAGATCCTAGGATTTCATCAATGCAGGGCTACCAATATCCTAAAGATCCATGGACGGTCCAGAATGAAAAATTCCCGTTTTTTTTTCATTACAACTGAATACTATATTCTTAACCTGATCTTGACCATCTTTGCTCCTTATTACTGTTGAGTTGCTTCGCTTGAAGCATCGTCCCGATAAGATCATCACCTAGGGATTCTAAATTGAAGAATTTTCAATTTTTCTTCTATCTTAGCTGAATACCATAATTTAGACTTAATCTGCATTACCATAAAAGTCCTCACTTCCTTTTAAATAGGCTAGGACTAGTGTAGGAATAGCCTAGAACTAATTTGAAACTACTTTATTTTGTGTAGAGCTTGCAGATAGGATTTTCGCTATGGTTATCCCGTATCTTCGTAGATATTTATAAGCCAGTATAGTTTTACAACGATTTTAATAATTCTAACAGTTCAATTTTATTTTCATTTTCAAGGTGTCACAAGTAAAGCCACTGCGGAAGATTTACATTATGGTGACATTTCTTGCCAGTTAAACTCGACAACATTATCCCTCATAGAGCTACCGGTTCAATGCGAGGCTGCCGAGAACGCAAGCTAGTAAGTTTAATCTTCCGTTTTTATAATTTTCTTTAATACAGCTTATTCTTATTGAAACATTGATTAAATCGATTCTGAAGAGGATTTATAATCCAATCATCTTCCCTTCAGTTTTCTAATTAATTTCATATGAAGTCGATCAAACGATTAAGTTCTCTTAACCGCTGACCTCTTCCAAAACCGAACTGATTTTTCTTTTCAATTCTTTTGTTTGTACCAACCATTCGAACTAAATCGAACAGGAGAGCGGACAAATGAAACTACAATAAGCAACAATTCTGGCTATTCTTATACCACGTTTACATCAGTATTTCGCTCTGATAATCATTCAGCCGTGCGAACATTTCCAAATGCGTCCGTTTTACTTTCACTCCAATTTGAATCGACCGTTGAAAGTGTTTTGTTTTGCAGCTGCGAGTCCCTGGAGCTGAACGGCACCCACTATTGCGAATGGAACTACAATGGCCTTGGTTTGGACTATCAAATCTTGGCGGGTCCAAGTTTCATCGCCGTGTTCACGATCGTCGGCGTCATCTTGGGTATCGCCGCTGATAAATATAACAGGTATCTCTTAGCGACAAATCATTAAGTTACACCTCCGTTGATTACACAACCTGTGCCGTTGCCCACTACTGTTCCAACGCCTCTTTATAATCCTGTTCACAGTTCCCGTCATTGTCGTTTCTCCAGCATAGATATGCATGTCCACTACTACTACTACCACCACCATTGACGTTCATAAGGAAAACTGCTATGTGGTGTACACCGTTAGACGAGCGGTATATCTCTATCATTATATAACTATTCAGTGTTCGTTTTGCAACCACTGCACTTAATCTTTGAATAAAAGTCATTATGTTAAATGTTTGGATTATTCCGCTGAGTCTGCTACAAGCCAATATCTAAGAACTTAATGGTCCGTGACCAGATGATTGAATTTTTAAACTTTGTTCTATGAGAGTATTCCATATGAACACAAAAATTTATCTCATTTCAAGCGTAAACAATGGTTCAATTTGTTCGACTGAATTTAGGGGTTGATTTTGATATGAAAAGTTCTAATTCAATCGGATAAGTTTTGCTAGAAATGTTTCTGAAAATTATCTACATATCATTTATTATATAGGGTATTTCATTTATAAATTCGTACAAAAATCGTTTATCATAAGACTATGTAATAAATCGATCTTGAATAATTGCACGTGTACATAAAATAAGACCATTCGTATCATCATTTTTAATTCTCCATATACCTTCCGAAAATACAAGAATAAAAATTTATGATATTCTCGTCGCGAGAAAGAAACGTACAAAGTAATTTTCAAAGCTATTAAACGATGTTTATATTCATTTTACTTCGGACATAAAATATTTTCCCCATTTCATTCATCTTTCTTCATTTACACAAATCTCACTGTTAGAAATGTTTCAACAAAAATAAACAATTGTAAATGTGATCCTCCAACAATCTACGTAATTTGAAACTATATTTAATTTACAGGGTAAGGTTGTTAGCTGTCTGCACCCTGATCTTCAGTATCGCGATAGTTTTGATGGGATCAGTTACCCAGTACTGGCAGCTAGTTGTTCTTCGTATGATACTGGCAGCAGGGTAAGGCAAGAATAATCAAATTTTCGAAACAGTAAACTTTATAGCTTATCGTGTACATGTAAATTATATTTTATTAGTACAAGTAATTTATATTCTATTGTATTTTGTACAGGGAGGCAGGATGCAATCCTTTGGCCACAGGTTTACTGTCAGACTGGTTCAATGAAGAACAACGAGGACTTGTCATGTCGATTTTTAACTGGGGCATTTACGGTGGTTATGGTATCGCGTTTCCTGTTGGCCGATACATACCAAAATTAAATATTGGTAACTTGGTAAATACAATTTTCTTTATGATGTTTTGTTCCAAACTTTGAAATATGAATAGGAGCACAATACAACTAATCCATGTTAAAATGAAAAAAACAATTATCTTTTACTGTCGTTAGAGATTCCGTTAAAGTAGGTCTAATGTACACGAACATAAAAATTGATAAAACAAGAACATTTTTGGAATGTTCAATATTAAAAATTCTATTTCTATTAAAAACTGTTGTCACAATAAATTGAATCTTCGAAGCTAAAGTAGAAAGAACGTCAACTCAGTTCGACGAATAATTTTCAAAGTTCAAAAGGGAAATATGAACAAAGTAGATTTCAAGAACAAGATTAGTCAAGTGTTAAAACATGTTTAGATATTTCATTTAAACATCTTAATTACTAAAACGCTCACAAACTTGCTGTCAATATATAGAACAATGTCAAGTAAAATGTCATTGACCCCAAAGGGGTGCTTTGATTATTCTAAATTTGTTTCCGTTATAAATACAGTTTAAACGTATTGTACATAATTTTTATATATTTCAAAATAATTTCAAGTTATCGTAACTTGGTTGGATAAAATGTTTAACACGATCACGTAGGAATATATACGAGTTGTGCTATATGAACACAGAGAAGATGAGGGTTAAAATTGATTTTCATAGGGATGGAGGGCGTGTTATTACGGGGCTGGAATAATCGGGCTGATTATAACAGCGTTCACTTTGACGTTATCCGAACCGGAGAGAAAGACGATCGGCGAAGAGGAAACGAACAAGGATGCGAAAAAAATGCGGATTTGGAAGGCGATCCTGCAACCGAGGATCCTGCTCCTGTGTCTGGCTGCGAGCATCAGACATTGCGGTAAAGGGCAATACCTTAGCGCAAAGGATTGAAATACATTCTGAGGGTACATTAGCGTCCACGTGACTAGTTTATTCCAGTTGAATACACATCCATCCGATCTTCTAACGTTACTCCATGAGTTTTATCTTGTTCCCCGTCTTCAGTTTTAACGCTTCCACTAACAACTTACCAATGGCTATTCGTCGACATTGTAATACTAATCTTTAGTATAACAAAAATTGCGAATAGGTATATTTGTTACAATTGGAAAACTAATTTTAATTTACTGCATAGTCTCCATAGACGAATTTCTACAAATCAACATGCAATATAAACCTATTGCTTTGTTAAAGAGTTAGAGTAATGAAAATAACACGGTAATTCTATGAAAATTTTGTTGTAACATTTGTTTTATCATGTTCCGTACAATGAGATCTATTACTTATAAATATAGAATTATTTACAGTCTTGTCACAATATTTAAATAGCGGCTTCATTATTTCTTCCAATATACATTCCATGTGATTTTTTAAATTATTCGGTAATAATGAAGGTTCGAGAAGATTAATTTAAATTCCATTCGTTAAAGTTGTCAGTGTTGTACTCATACTGTACTTGTGTAAAGAAGAATTAATTTTTTCAGAAATATCCTCTTACATGTTGCTCTTACTTTCAGGTGGCATGTGTTTCGCTTATAATTGCGATCTCTACTATAGAGATTACTTCCCTGATTACGATCTTGGCTGGTGGTTGTTCGCCGTGACGATTGTGATCGGCAGCATCGGTGTCGTAGTCGGCGGCGTTGTCAGCGATAAGTTCGTAGCGAAAATGGGAATCAGATCGAGGGTGGCTTGCCTCGCTATCAGCCAGATAATAGCAACTCCGTTTGCGTTTGGTTCTGTTTACTTTAATCCCTTGTGGGCGATGATCACCCTTGGTATTTCTTACTTCTTTGGTAAGTATCGTAGGCGAATACAGTACCGAATAATGGTACAACTTTTATTACATATTGAAAAAGAATCCCTGATTGAAAATATTCGCAATGTTTAAATAAAGCATGTAATCGTCGTGCAGAAACATTGGTTTTTTGAAATTATATGAATGGCTCAGAGTAATGGTAGTCTAATTGCTATTTCTGAGTTCTCGAAAGAAAGCTGTTGCGAAATATTCTTAGATTAACTACATATTAATATTACAATTACTGGTATTAATGATCAATTAAAATTAATATTATTAATAATATTGCCACTACTATCCTGAGTCATTCATTGTAAGATATACCAAAACCACCTATTTTTAAGTAACAAACTGCATTTTCGTGTCCATAGCATCATTCCTTAGCTAAGGGTGAATGTAGTGACCCAAATGCCACATCTATCGCGTGACCTTGACCGGAGACATTGAATCAAATCAGGATGCTACAGAGAATGCACTACCCTACGCGTTTCGAATGATTGAATACGAATATCTCCGGTCAAGGTCGCGCGAAGGTATTTAGGGCTTGAAATTCAGTTTTAGGTGAAGAACAATAGTATAAACATGAAAATACAGGATGCTGTTTAAAAGAAATTATCCACATCCTTGATGCAACCTTCACGATAAACTTCAACATTTGTTTTTATTTCTAATAATAATAAAAACATTCCAGTGCCCTATTACTATCGATTCAACCTGTACATTAAATATTTTCTTATTCAATAAAACGATGAATTCGTTTTTTATTCGAATGATTTTTTTATGAATTTCAAATATATGCTTTAAAAACAATTATGTTCCAAAGCTGTTTGTTAAATAGACTTTGAATTTCAGCCGAAATGTGGTTTGGCATTGTATTCGCCGTAGTAGTGGAGATAGTTCCTTTGCACCTGAGGTCAACCACTATTGGTGCTTTCTTGTTTGTGATGAACAATATCGGTGGAAATTTGCCGATACTCGTTGAACCGACCAGGAGGGCCATTGGCTTCCGAGAATCACTTTATATCTTTTACGCTGGATTTTATGGCATCAGTAAGTAACCGTTTATAAATTATCGTTACATGATCAATTTATAAACACACAATCTATTTTATCACCATTCGATTGAAAATTAATTGCATGGCAATTATTAACAACTTAGTATTGCGAGTAATTCGTTAATAATTTATCAATGATAGAATTAAAAATTTATTTTATAATAGTTATAAATTTCATTTAAATTCACATTTTCTTCAAATTTGAAATAACTGGACTAATAGTTTAAGTTTCTAAAGATCATAATTTAACAGAAAGATCGACATTCCCTTTAACATTACACGAAAGCAAATAATTTACTCGAGAATTTCTTTACCTGCAACTAAAGACCGTCTAATAATATTATTCTGAATTTGAACAAACTCTCGATGTATTTCCATTTCCGAAAGAATTTCGCTTCTGTACACCTTTTTGAGCTTGAATGAATGATCGTTCCAGGCTCCATCATGTTCTTCTTCACAATGTTCTTGATGGAGGGCTCCAAAGAAGAGTCAAAGAAGTCCGTGGTTACCACCAAACCAGAACTAGCATACGATAACACTATGTTTACCCATGACGAAGGAAACATACCGACTTTAGAATTGCCGCGGTTATATCCGCCATCGCCGCGCCGATTCGAGAACTCTAGGCTATAATGTACTTACCTATGTACAATTCACGAATTTGTAAATAGCATCTGAAGCGATTCAAACGACTGTACAATTGAATCTCGCTGCCTGTAGCAGTAAAACGCCGAACACGTTGCCTCTACGCCCAACGAAACACCTTGCTGTAAATAAAGTACACTGCAGAGGCTCACCGAATTCACGTTATTAAACGCTTGGAGCCCTCGTTCGCAGTACGTCCACGGCAAGAACGCAAGCCGATTTATTTATTCAATAAGAAGAGAAAGCGAAGAACAAAGAAGACACGGCAGTGTTGCGGTAAGATGCGCGGAAAACAAACAAGAGGCGGCGGAATGAATATTTTCAACTTCTGTAGTTTTTTTAACACGTTCTTACGTGATCGAGGAGCATCGGAGTTTCAAAGTATTCTTATTTTCGCTGCAGGACACGCGAAAACAAAATCAAATACGAATCGGTTCACCTTCGGTTGTACTTACCCTATTCACTGGAAACATCCTATTAGTAAGTTCCACAAATGCTTTCGTAAACGTTTTGTGTAAAAATATAAGAATTTTTATTCTGACTTTGAAAGGTCTTTTTATTTCGTTGTTCTCGATGCGGGGTGATCTTGGATCATTTGAATGAGAACGACCATGATTGGCGCGGAACAGGAAAATCGTTGCAATATTTATTAATTGTTTTCACGTCGATACGCAGAATTGTGACTATTGACCGCGAATCTTTGTGCAAAATAAGTTTTCTCAGAGTTCGCATGAATTGGAATATGCAGAAGTTTGCTTCTTCCGTCAATGATTTTGAGGAGTCGATCTGGTACGACCGATTCAAATAGTGGTGCATTTTTGGAAATTGATTTTCAAGTGACATTTGTTTCATCAATGTTCTTTAGTAAAAGTGAAGGCATGTATATAATTTTACTTTTACATTGTTTCTTTAAAAAGTTCTCGATAAGTAATTGGATACGCGATTGAATAGGAAATAACAAGATGGCGACACTTTGAAGCAAAGTTCACTTTCATAGTCAATCTGATTTTTATGCAAGGAAACGACTCTGTTCTACTTAAAATGGAAAATAATGAAATCGATATCTGTTGTGGTATAGGAAAAAACAATTCGTAATTTTTTAACTGATACACCCTATAGAATCGAGGTGGGAGATATATACTATTTGAACAAAGCTATTGACAATGAATTTTCGTCGATCAAAATAGTATTGGGCAATTTTAATGCAACCCTTCCGTATGACCTCTCATCTTTTTAAAAAAATTAATTTTTTATCACGTATTCAGACGAGTATCGATTACCTAGGTACGAAAATATAAAAATTGACTCAAAATGAAAAGGTAATTCATAGTTTCATCTCTAGTATAAGTTGCAAATCATAGTTCATTCGACGCAATTTATTTTCCACGAGTATACACCGAATTATATGTTCGAACAAAAAGATTCAATAATTGTATTGACATATGTTACATAACAAATGTGTCGCATCGAAGTGAAAGAAAAACGTTCTCTGTATAGATAAGATTTCTAATTAAAGAAACACTTCCAAGCTATAAAACGTTTTATGATGGTTTTACTGATCAGTGGCAGGACAAGAAGATACAAGTCGGTTTTATCATTTTAATGTATTAAAAATAACTCGTTTCCTATACATGTGTACATGTGTCCACAGGGGTACGGAAGGTACATGTTTAAACACACGCACACAGGACACATTAACGCGGCAGCGATGCGATACGCGATATACAGTAAATTCGATATCGAGACTCACTATCGCATCGCTATTTATGTACAGTTTATTTAATATAAATAAAAAAGATACTCGCATTTGTAATGTACAAAATAGTGGGAAAGTATCCTTGACGATTCAAGACGTCACGTAAAACTTGTCATGAAGTGTGTACATATTTACATGGTCGTGATTTGCGAAACACATCTTGACATGTTCATCAATAAATAGGCCATCCAACAGTTATTACAATGTAAAGTGCCGCGATCCTAGTTACATTTCTACGGTTACCACACACCGTTTCCAAACGACTGGTTCTCATACGGTTCGTAAACAGAAATGAGAAGATTGCACAGAACAAAATTCATACTCATAAATCATACTTTTAATCATTAGATATTCAGATATCTGAAAACATACAGCTCATAAATAGAACATCCGAAAGACGACTAATCAACTGGAGATTTTTACGCATTTACTGTTTATTAATTTTTTAAAATTATTCTTAACCAATTGGAGTTCTTAATGCATTTAAAAATAATGTGCAGCATTATTTCAAAAAAAAAATTCTATTTTATCTGAATTTAGTGATTCTTCACTAAACACTGCAGTTCAACGGTTATTTCTGAACGGATGTTCACCAAAGTTGTTTCCATTCCTTTCTACAAGCTCTATTTGTCAATTTTTCTCAATTCCTGCAGTTCTCAAACATCCTATACACATAAATACATATATTCAATGACTCTTTACAACACGGTACATCGATGTTATCGCATAAATAAATACAAGAAATACATCTTCAGTACGACTTTATAAATATTCATGTATCCTAATACTTACACAGTCTAACTGCATAAATATTAAATAACTTAGAATAATATACAACGGTGTTGTCCGACATAAGCTTCTCACGGAACAAAGCTTTAGGGTCATCTATCTCCGCGTGGGTCTCCTATCTTACTAGCGTTATGTCTCTCACTTTGTTTCCATGTGAAGATGAAAATGATATGTTATAAAATGGATCTCACGAAAATAGTGCTATCGTAAAACATTATTAATTTTTCGTTTCTAAGCAAAACACTTCTATAAATTCTGATCGTAAACTGGTACGCAGAACTTAATTGAAAAATTTAAAGCGTAAAATTATAGTTAAATACGATAATTTGTTGATTAAAAAATTGAAGACAATGAGCAAATTGTTCAATGAACGTTATATAGTATATACAAAGGAATACACGTTTTGATGTAAAAGAATTCTATTTGCAAACGTATGTAATCCAGTTTGTTTTAATCGGTAATTTAATTTTTTCTCTAATCTATAGGTGAACATTTCTGAAGTTTAAAAAACTTGAAAAATTGTCTAGACAACAAATGAGCTCAAATACGACATTACTATAATATGATATATACCTCAAAGGAAGTCACGTCTAAGCTCACTTCTCGTTAAGAAAACGTTGTGACTAGATCGGAGGGTTTTTTCGTGAATGTAAAACGAGAAAGATGAATGTTGATTCTGATCTACATATGACCGTTAACACATTCGTTGTCACGTACCTGTGACGTTCCTATTTATAGTCCGAAGCATTGAGACATCGATGGGAGACGGGCAATAAAGTGATCGCAACGCTGTATAAGATATAAACACAAAAGTTTCACTCTCAGTTCATTAACGTTTCCCGACTGTTGAAGGGCAGTCCTTTTAAGTTCTACAAAAATCGGCACCGTTTGTGATATCGAATGAGAGGAGGTAGTTTATGACGTCACTTAAGTAAAACAAAGTGACCTTGATCGGCCGACCATATTAACAACTTGGCGTAGACATAATTTGTAACCACATACACGAAGTTTATCAGTAGATTGCGGGTAGTTATGCATTTTTATCGAATTCAAATCACTCTGAAAGAGAATCAAGTTCAATATCATTTTTACTACGATGTAGGCACATTAAAATCAACGACAGAGGAAATAAAGTTCTGTTCAACTCCAGTCTTTGTATGTTACAAAGAAAACTGTATTTAGTATCAAAGATCCGCGATCTACTTATCAATGTTACTTATAGCTGCATTCTTTTATCTTCACTTATTAATCTGATGCCTTTGATTCTTATAAAGTCTTGAAAAAAGTGAAAACAACTTTCCAAGAAAATTAGTGAAATCAAAGGACAGAATTTAAAAATATGATGCAGTCTTCTAGAACTTACGCCTGTACAATTAGTTACATGTAGTTAGGCCCGTAGTAAGAAGTCGAGGACAGAGCACAAATACATCAATATAAATGTATATTCTGCACAATTATAGCTAATAAATGAATTAATACATGATGAAATCCAAAGACAGATACCGTGCCTTCAGGATTCTAAGCAGTAATTATGGTTGCCAGACAATAAATATATCGAATTTTTTTTCTTGTTTTCGAATTATTAGTGTCGAATGTTATAGAATTAGGCTATTGAACTTGTTTCACCAAAATTTTTAAACTTTAGTTTTTGGATGTAGCTTTTAAGTGTACATATTTTCTAAATATAGATTTATACATTTTACACCACTGTGCTTGTTCTTATTCTTTAATTAAAGTTTCGCGAAGAATTTTTGGAGGTGATTCTGTTTCGTTCGTTCTCTCTCTCGTTCTCTCTCCCTCTCCCTCTCCCTCTCTCTCTCTCTTTCTCTCTTTCTTTCATACATTGTACACATAATTAAAGGTGTATTGCAAAACATTATTAGTTGATTGCAATTGAATCTCAAAATGATTGATCAAATGATAAATCGTTAGCACAACTTCAATTCACTTATAGACTTGTATTATTAGTGTGTTATGTAGTTAAGAGACATTTACAAAGTGTTCGGCACCAATCCAAATAAAACATTGTATGTTCATGGAGCAATAAACGAAGTGTCAGAGTTAAAATTTAGTAATACTAAACATTTTCTCTCAGAAAATATGACTTTGTTATAAACGTAATTAAATATACGTTAAACTCAATACAAGATTTTCTTGCAGTTGCTCATTGCATCCTTGAATTATTTTCTTAATTTTGTTACATTAATTCTTTTAAGTGATTTTACGTGATTTTAAGTGATTCGCCCCATAATACATGTACACATAATCCAATCTTGCTGACTGAAATCTTATGATACATTAAAATAAAG